ATATTAAGGATATAGATTAATTAAAGTTTCCTAATTTATTAATAGGTACAATACTGCAAAAAATAAAACCGGTGTAAAATCTTTTATTTCATTTTATACATCATCTTACAACTGATATTACAAGCGATAAATAACGCGATAGTGAAGTTTGATTACAGTTTAAGATAAACATGTGAATAACCCAATCTCTTGGAAAAATTACCCATTTATTTTCTGGCAACACATACATCTGTTAAGGTTTTGTGTTCCGAGACCGCCCGGTTTCTGAAACACTGATCATCGTAGAAGTCAACTAATCAGCTGTCAAATGGATTTTCAAATGTTATTTGAGTTGCCAAAAGGATTGTTAAACTCTCTGAATTGAATCAAATAGCTCAGTGTCGGAGCGCTCGCCTTTAATTCAATATACTCGAGCAACCCGAGTTCGATCCCCGGTGCCGGCACCGTTGACATTGTTTATTAAAATAAATCACGTGCTCGGCGGTGAAGGAAAACATCCTTAGGAAACCTGCATATTTTCGAAATAATAATAAAAAAAAATATTTCGAGGATATGTGAAGTCCGCCAATCCGCAGTGGGCCGCGTGGTGGACTTTGCCCTGATACCCTCTGTACAGAGGAGAGCTTTGACCAGCAGTGGGACATGTATAGGCTGATACTTTACTAAATGTGTGCGTGAGGCATGTACAAACGGTCTGGCTTACTATAGTACCTCACTTTCGAAATTCGTTGGGGGTGGAGTCCTGTAAATTTTCTAGCCTGTGTATCTAACTCAATACTTATATTGAATTCAATGTTTTTACTTAAATAAAGTTAAACCATATAAAAATCCATAGTCATACAAATATTTGCTAACTCATATGTTAACAAATTAAAACAAATTTACATATGTATTGCTTTATATACCTATATATTGGTTCATTTACAATTTAATAATTGATTTTAGCCTCTACACTCCAAACAATATAAGACACAAGATTTACCAAAACAAAATTATTTTAACTAGAAGTCTAGAAGTTTTATGGAAAAGGTAATTAACAGGAATTTAATGTGTATGATGTGTACGAATTAAAAATATATGGAAGATTGCTTAATTGAAATGCGTTTGATATTAAAGATTTTAATAAAAACAAAAGTTTTATGTATTGGATTTTAACAATTTCCTTTTGTATTATTTATATTATTATTTAGTTGCGAACGATAATTTAACCCTGAAGCCAGGCAACAAATGACATTCCAAATTCAAATTACGGTACAAAAAACATCAAATTAAAAATTTTGACGAGCGTGACAGAAGTGATCTCTAAATTGTTCTAAACTAGACTCTTTAATATAAAGCGCATTACATGTAGATTTGTCATTTTTTAATCTTAAGAAGTTAAATATTGTGAAACGTGTAATTTATTGTGTAAATAGATACAATTTGTCGCTGTGTCAAAACGTCCACGTTAATTCTAATAGTAAATCAGTTCTTCATGTTGTTGTGTGTTTTATTGTCAACCTCTAAAATATATCAACTTGAATCTTTAAAAAAAAATTTGAACCGTTGTGAATTTTTCGCAACATTCCCATGATTACTGATTGTATGTAAATAAATAAACACCAGACTTTATCGACGTTATTTTATTTTAAAGAGAAACGGAGGATATTTTATTTTTATTTTATTGTACTTATCTTTTATATTTTGGCCATATTCAATTTATATCATCAGCCTGGTAGACACCACTGTAGTCTTGTGCCTGCTCGGTCATTTAGAAGAGCGGTCTGTACTAACTAGTTCATTAGGGGCAGTGAACTTAGCACCTTGCGTAGTGCATAGTATAACGTTCTGTGGTCACATAGAACGAATTTGATTTTATCTTCGGATAGTCTTAATTATTGTCCAGGCTTTCAGAAAACATTTTATTTTTTTTTCTTCTGACATAGATATTGAGATTCAGAATAGAACAACGTTCTATCTGATTTGTGCTCCGCAGTAAAAAAGACATATGTACATTTAGACACTGTTTTTTTGTACTGACTAGACTATACTGATGTAATACTGATGTAAAAGACGAGCGTACTATTATAACTCTATTAGAGTCAATTGATAATTATTGCTCAGTCACCCACTTTTTAATGGATATTTCGTTGAAAACAGTGTACCACGCGTTTATCTCATACATATTTTCTGAGTTTTTAGTAGAACAACGTTATAAATGAACGTGTGACCTATTATTTTTTGGAATTTTCGGTTGAACAACGTTATATAAAGGTGTATATTATGTGATCTTGTGACCCATTAGTTTTTGCCATTTTCCGTAGGAAAACGTCACTATTACACATGAAACCTCTTATTTCCTAAATTTATATAATTATTTATTCAAAAAGTATACTGTTTGTTTTTATACTTAATCATATTACAAACCCCAAAAATTGTAATAGCAACTGCTATGTATAAGAAAATTATAGCCAATATAAAAAATATACAATTTTGCAGATGTTAGCATTCTATTAGCTTCTATTAACCGCCGGTTTCTGAAACACTGATCATCGTAAAAATAAACTAATCAGCTGTCAAATGTCTTTAGAGTTGCCAAAAGGATGGTTAAACTCTGAATTGATCAGAATGATCAATCAAAGTCCGATATTGATAACCTACTTATCTCATCATGGGACGTACTAGGACCTCAGAAAAGCAGCGGGAGGACGGCGATTTCAAAGAGGGATATTTAAAAAAGAAAACACAAAGAAATTTGATGATTTTTTTGTCCACGCAACAGTCTTGACGCATACACTGGGTAAACCGAATTAGGTTTGATATTTATATAGAAGTCGAAAAAGATTGTGCGTAGAATATAAGTACGTTATATATTAACGCCCTAAGCTCCTACGGATTTCCTACTTATTACTAGATAATTCCTTCTTTACTTTGATAGAGAATTAATGTCGTCAAATACTTCTTAAATGGCGACGCTAAAGATGCACCCTCATCAGATAATTTATAATGAGCAGTTGAAATTATAGATACATTACAGCTTAATCAGTGAATCGTTATGTAAAAGAAAAGCTGTTTTAAAAAGAGGAAGAATCGGGTAAAATTAGATAAGAAAGAACGGGGGACTATTAAGAGAGTTAACTCCATGTGTTCAGCACTCAGCAATAACACTAGGATGAATACAACAAAGGTTCGAATCTGAATGAGTTGGAAAAGGCTTGTCTATGAATCCACATTGTGCAATCAATGTTGTTCCTCATCCTATGGTAGTGAAAGTTATAATAAATGTAAATTATGACGAAATGCAATAAATAACATACCTACACAGTTATTATATCTGTGTAGGTATGTTATTTATTCAGTTTATCTCTATTTGATGAATTCGATTTTCGAAAAGAAGTTGCAGAGGGAATGAATTTTTCATACTGTTTTCATTACAATTTCAACTGACTAGGAGCAAGATCTATTTCATCATATCGAATAGGAAACATGAAGTTGAATACATTACATTACAATATCTCAGTGGTCAAAGTCATGTGGTTTGTCATTGTGTCGATATACTATGGCTAGTACCAGTAGCAACCACCAACTCGAAAAGGCACCTTAATATCGATTACAAGCTGGAGAGAAGAAATCGACTCTGCAACTCTCCTTCTGAAATTATTCGAGTTTTAGAAAATTCAAACCCTACATTTCAATATCATTTTAGTTTATAGGAAGTTTATGCGTGATGAACTTCGTGTTATATGCACATTTCGGGACTTAGTTTTAAATTTCTATTATTAAAAAACGACTATAGAATCTCTGTGGCTATCAGCCGTTTAGCTCAGTGGCTAGAGCGTCAGGCCGAATGCCAAAGACGTGGGTTCGATTCCCACAGCGGTGACAATCTTTTCGTACTTTTTCTACATGTTTTAATGTTCAATCTTGAAATTGTTTTTAAAATTTATAAAAAAGCAATGGAAATCTCTCGAAATATCGTTGTAAAACGATATCCGAAATTGTTTGTATGCTGGAAAGAATATAACAATAGATGCGCCAAGCATTGCTTCAAATGCTAAATAACAATGTAGAAAGAAGGCGTTAAGATTTTCGTCGCTGTGGCTATCAGCCGTTTAGCTCAGTGGCTAGAGCGTCAGGCCGCGAATGCCGAAGACGTGGGTTCGATTCCCACAGCAGCGACAATCTTTTCGTACTTTTTCTGTTTAAAATTGGTTGTTGTAAAATTTCTCTTAAGCTACATCAGTAGGGATGCCGAAAGTGAAGAAATATTTCGATATATCGATATTTATAAAAATATCAATATTGGCCTCGATATATCGAAGAGAAAATAACGATATATCGATATTTTCATTTTAGGCCCTGTTTATAAAAAAAAACGTATGCCAAGTATTACATATTTGAATGCACGAATTCTGTCTCGGATTCGAGTTTGAAAAAATATCGTTTTTGATACGGTTTCGATATTGAATATTTTACATCGATATATCTGATCGAAATATATCGGCTAAAAATTGTGATATATTTAATATCGATATTTTATCGGTATCCCTATACGTCAGTCAGTTCAGTCTAGTGATGGGCAAGTAAAAAAAATATCGATATTTATCGACATTTTGAAAAACTCGATAACTATCGAGGAAAAAATATCGATATATCGTCAGTTTTCACATAATTATTTATTCATATTTACAAACGATTAAAAATTCGTAAAAAAGAATAGACATGAAGAAAATAGTTAAAAAGATTTTTTATAGTTAACAATGCGCGAAGAGCATGAAAAGAGAACGTTAAACACGAAACCTTTGCATTAAAAATGTATTGAAATTGACACGAATTTGTTAGTCTAAAATAAATATCGATATATCGCGATAAAAAATATCGACGATATATATTAATAGTTGTATGGAAAAATAACGATATTTTTTGCACATGCCTAGTTCAGTCAAAGTCTCAAACATATGTTTTACTGTTTATTATTACAATAATTTCAATTAAAATAAATAATTATTGACTATTTGAATATGTCTAAGTCTGCTCACGTCGTTGATGGCGAAGCTTCAGAGTCCGAGTCAGAAATAGAATTGGGTAGGTCACCTGTGAGTAGGCATTATTCTTTATTTGCACTCCACAATGTACCCTAGGTGGTATAAAATTAAAATTAAGAATCATCATGGACCCACTATTTCGTTTTTCACCTTATTATTATTGTTAGGATAGTTGAAGTTTCTAATTAATACTCCGTAGGGGGGTGATGTGGCGACTCATTTGCTACTGTGTAGCACCACTCTTATCTTTTACACCCTTACTCTCATCGGTCTAGCATTACCCTATTATTGACAAATTTCTATAGCAACGAGTGACAATAAAAGATTATGTTTTTCTCAACACGGCTTGTTCTTTGTACTGCATCTTAATTATTCCCTCCTGCCGGCTCCCAAAGCCTCAAAAAACTTGTTATCATACGTTCAAATTTCAAAAGTTCTCTCTGTGTTGCTGGTCAACAATCGCACAATTGAATGTGAAAAGTCCTATATGCTTCGATCTTCAAGATTGTTTAAATATCATGCAAAACAGATTTTGTAAGTCTTATCATATGATGGCTTTGTTTTTTAATTGACAACAGAAGTAAGTGTATGAGCAATTTAAATTATGAAATGATAAGTATATTACCCATAAGAATATAACAATCTTTCCATCCCTATTTCCAAAATGAATTGTCTTTGCATTCACCTGTTACTAGTTTTATGAGTGATACCATGTTTGTTGCATATCAAATTATTCTATTGTCATATTTTTCTCCAATCCAATAACAATTTTAATATAATAATAAATTTCAGTGATGATGGCTCACTTATTGTTAACTCTTGTTATTTGAACAGTCGGTGAATAACTTAGTATCAGGTGGGGTACAAGAAAAATACTAAATTTGTAATCTACCCCTAAACCCGCACTAGCTACGCCTGTGTACTAATATATATATTCCTTCATTTATGGTTGCAGGACTCCAACACATCTGTTGGAAAAGCCTTCGTGATCACAGGTGAAGCACCGGAGTCAGATGATGGTAAAACAAATATTATTTAGAAATTATACCAACTTTTAGTTTACTGATACTGGGGACTCTGTGGCGTAGTGGCCAAGGTATTGGCTTCGGCGTCGGGGATCGTGGGTTCGATTTCCACGCAGGAGAACTATTTGTGTGACCCAGAGATAGTTGTTTCGTATCTGGGTGTTTGTCCCCGTGATATTTATGTTTGTAAAACGTCCTTACAACACAGGATAAAGTTATCCTAAAGTAAGGGCAATGTTATTAAAAAAAACTTATAAACTCCTGTGAAATTTGTCATAGCAGCAAGTTCTAATTAAAATTTTGATACTCATATGTCATTGACCTTCTTTTAACTGTCAATGTATAATTTGAATAGAAGTTGTTAACATCTTTCTAAGACAATTAGGAGCTTCTTTAGAAGTATCTTCATTATGTCATGATAAAGCCTATAAATAAAATGTAAATGTAACATATCGGAGAGAAACCTTTTGCTGTTTCTGTTGCATTGAATGTATCCTGTGATCTAATTTGTACTAAATATAATTTGACCATTTCTTAACCAGATTAGGGAAAGCCTACAAATAGTATATCGGCTAACAATAGAATTACCTATCATTGACCATTTCTCATTAAGGTCACGCCAGTTTAACACTCAGTGAAAAATGGTAACTTGGCTTGCTGTGTTTGTTTGCTCCAAATCCATAAACACATATTAAATATATACATATACTATTCATAGTAAGGTATAGTAACAACCTATATATTTTCTATATATTTTCCATTACTAGGCGAAGACCTCTGTACAGAGGGTATTAGGCGCCAGAAGGAGAGTTATGTTTTTCGAGAGTATGTATGTATGTATGTATAATTGTTTGGCACGCTCTGCAGCCTGAACGACTTGATGGATTTTAGCTTGAGAGGTGTTGTTGATTTACTGTGAGAGTGACACTGGGTATGTGAAAATGAAAAATTAAACAGAAATGCAGTTTGATTTTTTAGTTTTTTTAATTTATATACATAAACAAATATTTGTTATTGTGTGAAATAGGCTCGCATCTTTCATATCTTTCCAGAGTCCAAACTGCAGCCTGCAGCCAGCCAAGATCAAATTGACTCGCCCCTCAACGTCTCCATGTCCCCACAAAACTCCCCCACAAGGGTTATGTACCATTCCCTTTTGCACCAGAAGTTGTGTGAGTAGTCCCTTATGTCTATACAGCGTGTCGTTACCACCGCGACAATAAATGAACACACATATAGAGGATACATTTTTAAAATTGTATTAAACATTTACATTCTTCAAACATCAATATTTACAGAGTTATTAAATTTTCCAAAACAAACAATTTTAGAACACCCTTACGTATAAAACTGTAACGTAAAGTTCATTTGTAAAGGTCACAAAGCAAATGAATGGGTTGAATGAATTTAAAAGAGACAAAACATACTGTTAAAGGAGAGGCTTATAATACGACGCTGTGGCGCGAGTTGTATAGGATGTTACAAATTTTGTTTCTTTTTTACTTAATTACTTTGAAAAATATATTTTTTTAATTATGGATTTTGTTTAACGTTAATATTTTTTTTATGATTATTGGCAAGTAGCGTTAGACGTGTGTTCATTTATTGTCGCGATGGTAACGACACGCTGTATAACTGCAGCGGATAACAGTATGTCTTGATGATAGTGTTTGACATGGATTGGGATGTGTTTTTAGTGCAATACATATGTATGCTCTAGGCGTCCATACCGTGACTTAGTTTATTTATTTATTTTATGTGAGAAGGTGGCAAAAGAGCTGGCGGCTCATCCGATGTTAAGTGATAACTGCAACCCATTGACATTTGTAACACGTTTAAGGTTTCAGTTGGGTTTCCACTTCATAATAAAGTGAGAATTCGAAAATCGAACGTAATTTATTTGACCCGACATCACATCGACAGTGCGAACGTAACCGGGCAGTTCCGTCCGCGTAAGTACCACGACCTCACAGAAGACCGGAGTGAATACTTGTGCGTTTCGTCTGGTGAGTGAGGTAGCCGGGGCCCACTTTAATAAAAGGTGGCAACGCATCTGCAACACTACGGTTATGCAAATGTCCATGGGCAGCGGTTATCACTTAACAACAGGTGAACCGTGAGCTCGTTTGCCATTTTCTAATATAAAACAAACGATGATTATAACTTATAAAATAGAAATATTGTAATTTGCTTTATTATGTTCTAGCGTCCCGCCCCGGCTTCGCACGGGTGCAATGTATTATACAAATAAACCTTCCTCTTGAATCACTCTATCTAGTAAAAAAAACGCATCAAGATTCGTTGCGTAGTTTTAAAGATCTAAGCATACATAAGAACAAACAGACAGCGGGATGACTTTGTTTTATACTATGTAGTGATGTAGTTGTATTAATTTTTGTAATGTTCACTAATAGGGGAATGCAATGTTTCGTTGCGGGCAACACTAGAGGGCTTATTAAAGCACACTACTGACATATCCGTTGAAAAACTCACCAGCGCTGACAAGACATTACTCTCCGTACAGGTAATGTATTTTTTTTATGTGAAAAGTTGCCAAGCGAGCAGGCGGTTCACCTGATGTTAAGTGAATAAATACCACTGCCCATGGACATCTGCTGCACCCGAGGGTGACAGACGCGTTGACAACCTTTTGAAAATTGGGCTCCGGCCACCTCACTCACCAGACGAAACGCGAAAGTATTTGTCATACTCCACTTTACGCCGGTCTTCTGTGAGGTCGTGGTACTTACTACGAGTCTGCCCATTCGTGCAACAGCCGAGGGCCACGCAACGGTATTTTTGTTGCAAGAATGAGCATCTCCCTCCGGGTGACTATACGGGTACTATGTACTAGTACATAGTACTATGCAAGAATGGGCATCTCCCTCCGGGTGACTATACGGGTACTATGTACTAGTACATAGTACTAGTACTATGTACTAGTACATAGTGCCCCATCTATTTTAGGGCACTACCGTATGTATACTAGGGTAGGCTGTAACGGTTGCGACACTCTACAGGAGAGCATGCGTTCAACTAACGCCAACCTGACGCTGGCCAGGGCCAGACTGAAGCAACTCCAAGCGGAACTGGACAAGGCCAACTGCAGCACGGCGCTGCCAACTGTCAAAGTCAAATAGTGTTGCCAGTTACAACCGATAAACGCCTGGGAATATACAGCTTTATTCAAGAACAATACTATGATGTCTCGCAGTGCGCACGAACGCATAGGGCCGCTAAATCCAATTCTTTAACGATAGTTGAGTGATACACAACGCTATGAGTTCATTATTTCACCCTTTGTTAAATAGAGAGCTATTTTAACCAACGCACAGTGTAACTTTGACAAATGTCACGTTATGTTGTGTCTGTTTAGCTAAACGGACCAATCACAGATATGTAATCGGCGCAGCGCGAACACACTAAAGTGTCGCCTGAGTGTAATTTGTGAATGACATGGCCTGCCGTTACGAACTCAGTGAGATATTTTTTTTTATTTTAAAGTTTTTTATAGTGCTAATCTCTGCACTTAAGATTGAATATTAAAACAGTGAGATATGCCTTACCTGAGTATTGTTCTTGAATACTGGTGTTAGTGTAGTTCGAATAATTAAAAAAATATACTTGTGTTGAGTATTTTTGGTTGAGTAAGAAATAGTTATAAACGAAAGTCTTTTGAATATCCCGCGCACTGCACGGTTTTGCATTGTATAACATTAAAAACGCAAGTAATTACAAAACAGTGAAATATAAAATGCATCTAGAACGCGCGTATGCGCTGCACAATCTTGACCTAGGTGTCAGTGTATATGTCCCTTTCTGTTATATCTTTCTTCTCTCTCATGTAACGAAATTTCCCTAAACGTAGAAACTTTTACTTTAAATCGTCTTCCCAAAGACAGGCTTCTTTCTTCTTATAATGAAACAATATATGGAATGTTATTTAAATGTGTTGTGATTTAAATTAAAATCCTATCATATGCATTTAGCAATGCAAATTCAAATGTTTCAAAAAATGAAATCAGCTGCGGTAATGACAAAATGAAATCGGCTGTCAAAATGTCAAATCTAGGTAGGTGCGTTTCGTTTCTCGCACATTTTTATTGACTTATTAAAAAGATGTATCAATCCTGAAAATCCCGGGATTAATTAGATTAGCTCCCGAAAAATTCGGGACTAAAATATGACCGGGATCCCGAAATCCCAGGATCGAATCCTCTAGGGACCAGACAAATGTAAAGATTATGCTGTCTAGTGTATGTGTGCAAAATTATTTAAAACTAGGGTGTCGGAAAGCTGGTGATATTCGATCAGAAATACTCCATAAATCAGAATTGTTTAAAGGTACTCTACCTATAAAAGACAGTTTTAAATTACTGGCAAATGCCAAATGAACGATTTAATTTATTAAATTTTATGTGGTGTTGATGATAAAATATATACTGAGAAATAATTATATTGTTTTCTTTCGTATTTCATTTCGCTTTAATCGGGTTATTTGTGAAAATTGGATATCTTAATTCTTATTCTTGAATTGGTTTAAATTATAATTAACGCAATTTCTTATGTAAGTTCTGAAATATTTATTGGCTCTTATTACGATATTAAAACGAAATACTTTTATCACCTAAAAATGCTGTAATATAAACTACGTCATATATTATAATTTATGGCTAGGTATGCCGTATGAATGTCTTAATTATTTTGCGTTGGAATTCCTCAATGGTATTAAAACCATAATAAAAAACAGGTACGTAATGTCATAGTTTTTATTTTAATTTTGTTCATGTATAAAAACATAGTTGATATTGTAAAATTGGTCATTTTGGGAACAATCTTTTATTTTAGCATAAATAATTACCATACGTTAAAAAAATCTTTGTTAACGTAAATATAAAAAGAGTCTCAGTCATACAATAATTATTCGTTGTAAAATATTAACTGATAATTAATATACGTAAGAATGATCAAATTTAATTTACCATTTACATGCAATATACTATGGATGACAGACTATAAATCAACTTATTTGTTTATGATTGTTATATTATGAGTTTATGTGTTTACTTTTATATATAACCGACCGAAATAATCAAAAATGTGGCCTGCACAGATAAGTCAAACCCGCAGACTAAGATGTTCCATATACTAGCAATAAGAAATATCGGATCATGGAGGATTGAAGTAAGGAGAAACATCTATGCGTTTAGTGTCCGCCGAAATGCGTAAAATAGGTGGCGCTACAGTAGCAGGTGGGTATAAGACACTGGTGGTAAATAAATAGTTATTATGGTTGCTGATCACTATGATTCAACCCAGCAAATCACCTTCGCTTCTACCGCCAATTGGGTTTTAGAATTGTTATTTTGGCCTGTAGCTGGACACCGTTCCACCTACCCCTACAATTAACATTTAGATTGGGGATGGGAGGGGGGTCCCCATTCTCAAACTGTAATTTCTTGATTGCAACTGGACATCGTTATCCTTACAGCCACAATTAACATAGATTGCTTGGGGGAGGGGGTTTAAGCAATTTAAATGTTAATTATCGGGTTGGTTGAGGGCTGTTATAGCCTGTAACCGTTGGTGTCGAAGCCCCACTCCGCCATCTTGGCGTCGACCAGCCCCCGGAAGAGGGCGACGTTCGCGTAGACTGCCGGCACGTCCTTCTCCCCACACCCAACGCCCCACGCCACCAGGCCTGACAGCTTGTACCGGTCCCCGCCGATCGGGCACGCCAGCGGAGCCCCGCCGTCACCCTGCCGCACCAGCGGATAATGGTTAAACACGTTGTTAGTGTTTGAAATTCAAAATTTCCGTAGTGCTAATTTCTGTGGTTAAGGTGAAACTTTAATTGGTAGCATCTAACCGTGGTAGTGCCACGCAGCAGCCTCGGCTGTTGCACGAATGGGCAGGCTCGTCCGGGTGAGTTCCACGACATCACAGAAGACCGGCGTAAAGTGGAAGTATAACAAATACTTTCGCGTTTCGTCCGGTGAGTGAGGTAGCCGGAGCCCAATCTTCAAAAGGTTGTCAACATATCTGTAACCCTTGCGGGTAGCAGATGTCCATGGGCGGAGGTTATCACCTAACATCAGGTGAACCGCCAGCGCGCTTGCCACCTTACTAAAAAGAAAACAAGTCGCCACTAAAAAAAATACAGTCTTCTTTGTCCATGGTCGCTCACCTGACACGTGTCTTTGCCCTCCTCGCCGCCGGCGCACACGAAGCTAGAGTGCAGCCTGAAGTGGCGACCGAGTCTCGTGGCCTTGAGGAGCTCGTGGCACCTCCCGTGCTCCACCATGTCCACCTCCACGCGCTTCAAGATCACAGCGTACCGGCCTTTGAGACCTGATGGCAATTAAGACGCAGACGCGGTCGATTTACCACGAGTTGAGATATTTCTTTTAAGTGAAAAGTTGCCAAGCGAGCAGGTGGTTCACCTGATGTTAAGTGAATATCACCGCCCATGGACATCTGCTACACCAAAGGGTTTGCAGATGCGTTGACTAAATTTTGAAAATTGGCTGTCAGATAGTTGGACGTCAAGGCAACAGCCTGAAGATTACCAATATTATCAAAGCAAGTAATAGAAAAACGGCCAAGTGCGAGTCGGACTCGCGCACGAAGGCATACCCATTATCTAGTATGTAATTGTATTTTTATGTTTGTGCTTCACATCTCTGGAACTCCTTACCCGATAACATAAGAAATGCAACAAATAAGACCTCTTTCAAAAGACTGGTTCGTGAACACCTGTTGAAGACAACAGACAATATATTATAAATATTAGTTTAGTAAATGTGTAGTTTTTATACATTCTTTATATTTAAAATCATGCATGTCTTCTTTTATTTTATTTTATTAATATTTTGTAATTTTAACATCCCTTCCATAACCTACCATAAACTTTCACCGCATCCTGTGCTGACTGGTAAAGAATGCCTTTGGGCATTAAGTCCGACCTTTGTTACCTTTTTTTCTTAAGGTTAGCAATAAAACATAGATAAATAAATGAAAAAAAAAAAAAGTTCTAGGTGAAGCGGAGCGCACGAGGGCGGTACAGCACTAATCGTACACAATCGACACACGCGGCCCCTCACTAGTCATGGTGCGACCGATGGCGCGTGTATATACGCGCTGCTAAGAATTTAAATTAAATGTTTTTTTTTTATTATTAGCATGCTTTTGCCTCCTATTAATACGTAGAGGCGTTATTTTCCCGTTCCGGATATTTAACGGGTCCTGGAGTTCTCGGCTAGTGAAACGCGAGTCTTGCGAACTCACCGAACTTGTTCTTGCCCCATCCGTTGGCGACGCAGTTCTTGCTGCCGTCGAACTTCTCGCCCTGGCCGGGGAGGCAGATCACGTTTATGTGGTCGGCCAGGTCGAAGGGCTCCTTCAGGCGGAGCAGCGCGAGGTCGTTGCGGAGGCTTTTTCTGTCGAAGTCTACGGATGGTGCGACGATTAGGGGGGTTCTTATGCCGTTCCTTATATTTGACGGGTCATTTAATCTCTAGAACACGCTCAAAGGTCACGTCAATCACTTAAAGTCCAAATTTTCTTTATTCAATAATCAAAAATAAAAATATAAAAAAATTTGATAATCGGTTCTTAGACGATGGCGGTACAGTACTAATCGTACACAATCGACGTACGCGGCTCCTGCCTAGTCGGAACGTAATGTCATGGTGGGACCGTTGGCGCGCATATACAGCGTGTCGTTACCATCGCGACAATAAATGAACACACGTCTAACGCTACTTGCCAATAATCATAAAAGAATATTAACGTTAAACAAAATCCATAATTAAAAAAATTTTTTTTCAAACAAACTAATTAAATAAAAAAGAACTAAAATTTGTAACATCCTATACAACTCGCGCCACAGCGTCTCATTACAAGCCTCTCTTTCTAACAGTATGTTTTGTCTCTTTTAAATCCATTCAACCCATTCATATGCTTTGTGACCTTTACAAATGAACTTTACGTTACGCTTTTATAGGTAAGGGTGTTCTAAAATTCTTTGTTTCGGAAAATTTAATAACTCTGTAAATATTGATATTTAAAGAATTTAAATGTTTAATAGAAGTTTCAAAAGTTATCCCCTATATGTGTGTTCATTTATTGTCGCGATGGTAACGACACGCTGTATACCGTGCTGCTAAGAATTACTATTAAATGTGATTATTTGGGCATGCGTTTGCCTCCTAATAGAGAGGCATTCTTTTGCCGGTCCGTGTATTTTAATTTGTTTTGGAGTCTCTAGAACACGTGGTCAACCCACTTTTTCGTCAAATTTTCTTTACGACCCGACTGGCTGTAGTGACCCTGCCTCGTGCGCCAGAGAATGTGGGTTCGATTCTCTACTGGAAAAATATTGTCTGGTGAACATAGTATTGTTGTGTCTGGGTGTTTATATATGCATAAAATATATTTACTTACAAAAGTAAATTATGTTTAAGTATGTCTATCAGTTATCTAGTATCCATAGTACAACCGTTGTTTAGTTGTGTACAAATGCGTCCTGAAACATTTATTTATTTTGGCATGTCCGTCCGGGAAGTACCACGACCTCACAGAAGACCGGCGTCGAGTAGAAGTGTTACACTTCTGCGTTTCGTCCAGCGAGTGAGGTAGCCGGGGCACACTTTATTAAGGCGGCAACGCATCTGCAACCCTACGGGTGGTGCAAATTTCCATGGGCGGCGGCAATCACTTAACATCAGGTAAACTGTAGGTTGCCACCTTCTCATGATTAAATCAAACTTAACATAAGGTATACCCACCAGAATGGATGAACTGGTCCTGGACAATCCTCTCCTGCGCCTGCAAGCGCTCCTTGTTTGTCTGCGTGTCCCACTCGCCCGCCCTGACCTTCAGACCGCCCGGCGCGTACCTGAAATAAAAGCATTTGAGCCAATAGAACGGCTCTCTCAGCGGCGCTTACAGTCTAATCAGAAAATTCTTCAAAAAGGTCTTCAAGGCAAGAGTGAAAGGTTTTTACTGAGCTAACGTGTATCATCAACGGCCGCATCGCCTCTTGCCATCAAGTGGGATGGCAGTTAAGTGTTGGCCAGTTTTGAATTAAAAAAAATATATTTTATTACACATTTTGACACAACATTCTCTAGTCCCAGGCAGTTTGGCAGGCCACGCAAAAGTACCACGACCTCACAGAAGACCGGCGCGAAGTGGAAGTGTTATACTTCAGCGTTTCGTCCGAGTGAGGTAGCCGAGGCCAACTTTATTATAAGGCGGCAACGCATCTGCAACCCTACGGCTGTTGCGAATGTCAATGGGCGGCGGTTATCGTTTAACATCTGGTGAACTGCTTGCACTCTCATTTAAAAGTAATAATAATATTAAATAAACAATAAATAAATTACATGAAATACAATATTTATCTCTATATGTTTATTTTTATTCATAATATTTATTTTATATATGCAATATATATTTATATCTTTATTTTTTATCTATAAACCCAACCAGACGAGAAAACAAAGAAATAACCAAAAAAAAATGAAAAAAAAAAAAAAAAAAAGCATTTTGAACAACATAATTTGGCTCCTTACTTTAATAATACATTGCCAAGTTTTCGCCGTGAACAGACCGCGAGGAGAAATAATTATTACATCACATAATTAGTACATCGTGGGCTAATTATATAGCCCACGATGTACACTTTCAATTTTCTCAGACATTCTATATTAATTATAATGTAACCAATCTCCTAACTACAAGCATAACATTATTGAAAGTGATAGTGGATTCGAATCAGTTTGAAATTAGGCCTTTTAGTTTGAACATGGCAAATGAAATGAAATTTATCCTCGATAAGGTGCAAATAATATTTGTGAACTTCTCGTTGCTTCCTTCCCGCCACCTTCTAGCATAAAGGCACCTTCAGGGGTATCTATAAAAACAGCAAAAAAAATCATGTCTGTTGTATGGGAGCCGCACTTGAATATTTTTTATTTTGTTTTTATTATTTGTTGTTATAGCGGCAACAGAAATACATCATCTGCGAAAATTTCAACTGTCCAACTATCAAAGTTCAGGAGATACGGCCTGGTGACAGACGAACAGATAGAGAGACAGACTGACAGACAGACAGCGGAGTCTTAGTAATAGGCAGAAGAAAGTAAGAAAAGTTTTAGCCGCTGTGGGGATCGAACCCACGTCTGACGATTTGGCCACTAAGCTAAACATTTTCTACAAAAACTGTCACGGTTTACGAGACACGGCCCGGTGACAGACGCACAGACAGAAAGGGAATTTCAGTAATAGGGTCCCGTTATACCCTTTGGCTACGGAGAAATGGGGCGTGGACTCACTTGTGGGCGATGTGGGCGCCGGTCATGACCACCTGCGGGTGGATTAGGACCCCGACACCGGCATAGCTCGAATTCGCGTTGTCCAAAAGCGCCACAACCCACGGGAACTCGCCGAACTGCGCCTCGTCGCCCTATTACGTGTAGATTTATGTTTAGTCTTATGCCATTCACCTTTCGAAGTTATACTTCTTTTGAAAGCGCAGTCAACGCCGATGGCCCGTAGGCGACATGCCATAATTAACGCGCGCACGTGTACATGCGCGGCCCTACCCACTGAGGAGGGCCTCAAACCCGTGGGCTCCGGCCAGCCCGCCGGTTCTGCGTTTGCGAAGCTTTAAGTCTAAGGACTGGAAGCGTAACATCAGATATACAAATACGATGGCAGGGCCCCGCAGCAGCCTCGGCTGTTGCACGAATGGGCAGGCTCGTACGGGTAAGTACCACGACCTCGCAGAAGACCGGCGTAAAGTGGGAGTGTAATACTTTCGCGTTTCGTCTGGCGAGTGAGGTGGCCGGAGCTAAATTTTCAAAAGGTCAACGAATCTGGAACCGTCGGGTATAGCAGATGTCCATGGTCGGTATTCACTTAACATCAGGTGAACCGTCTGCTCTCTTGGCAACTTCTCACATAAAAAAAACGACATCAAAACTACAGTGAATACTATGAATTTTATGTTACCGTGACGACCTTTTGAAATTTGCCCATAACTCCAAGTTATTTAATTAAACCGCTATCAATTGCATTTAATGTCTTTTCTTCACTAATAAAGAGCCTTGATACCTTCATTACAGAGGTGGCCTTTGCCCAGTAGTGGGATATTTATAGGCTGATAGTATACTTTACGATAAATAAGTATAACTTTCTAGGTGTGTTCATAAGTACGGAGAGACGTTGTTTTTTTATTATATTTCCATCGAATCCCTCGGCTGTTTGCTGCTGTAGGATATTTAAAGTAAAATAACAGTCTATTTATGTCCCATTGCTGGGAAAAGGCCTACTCCATATAGCGTATTAGGGTCTTCACATATCTTCGAAGCATTTTTTTTGTTGTTATTTCGAAAATCTTCAGGTTTCCTCACGATGTTTTCCTTCACCGCTGAGCACGTGATAAGTCAGCACTTAAAGTTAAAAACTTCATTGGTGCCGGCACCGGGGATCGAACTCGGGTTGCTCGAGTGTATTGAGTTAAAAGCGAGCGCCCGGACACTGAGCTATCGTGGCTGTAGGACATTTACCGCCCAGACTAACATCCAGATTCAAAACAAACGGTAGTTCATATGAAACACGTGCCGTTGGAATCGAACCCAAGACTCGCAAAGGCTACTTCAACAGATTTAGCTTTATACATTTATTTATTGGATCACCAAAGATGCACCATTAACAGCCTAAGGAGCGTTTGTGCAAACCATATTATCACGGTTTAAGGTTTGTAATTATGAATAAAACGTGCAATAAAGAATGAATTTCAAACAAATCTATAAATCAATCTAATATGTAAAATTCTCCTGTCACGGTGTTTGTAATTGAACTCCTCCGAAACGGCTCGACCGATTTTCGTGAAATTTTGTGTGCATATTGTCCAGGGTAGAGAATCAGACAACATCTATTTTTAATCCCCCTAAATGTTAAGGGTCGTCCACCAAAAACATTTTTTCTACCCTAAAATAATTTATATGGCAAAAAAATTTTTGCCGGGTCGGCTAGTAATATATAAAAATATTTGCGACCCACCCCGGCTTCGCACGGGTACAATGTATTATACATAATTATGTATAAGCCTTCCTTGTGAATCACTCTATATAGTTAAAAAAGCCGCATCAAGATCCGTTGCGTAGTTCTAAAGATCTAAGCATACCTACATAGCGACAAACAGACGACTTTCTTTTATACTATGTAGTGAAGTATGGGTGTACTTATGTACGCACATTAGAAGTTATACTTCTTTAGCTTAATGACGTTAAATGCAATTGATAACGGTCTTTCTAAATAACATGGAATTAGTGATAAATATAAAAAAAGTTTGTTGGTTGCCATGGCAATGTCGCTTCGTAACCATCTTCATCATGTCGCCTTTTGGGGGTCGGTGTGCGCGCGCACCGTAAAAATTTCGCTCTCACAATTTTTTCCAAACGCTTTGAAAGAGGTGCAACAGAAAAAGTCAATTCAAAACGAAAAACAAAACTGACTTCAATTATCTCGCTCTGTATTCATTTTATAATTGATTTTCAGCAGTTCCCTACCTGTCCGGAGCGCAAGATCCAATACCATTGAAATCATGGGACCGCATGGGAAGCACCGGCTTTCAAATAAAAGAAGAATTATCAAAATCGGTCCTCTCAGCCGTAAGTTCTGAGGTAACGAACATAAAAAAAGTACAGAAGAATTGAAAACCTCCTTCTTTTTTATTCTTTTTTATGGAGAAAAGGGGCAAACGAGCAGGAGGCTCACCTGATGGTAAGTGATTACCGCCGCCCACGAACACCCGAGGGCTTACAAACGCGTTGCCAGCCTTTTTGGAAAGAGTATGCTCTCTTTCTTCTTTTTTGTAGGCGGTTGAGAATCATTATAGTTGTCCCCCCTATCAGCGGGGCAATTAAATCACGTGAATTGGCACCCACCTCCCCGCCGGTGATTGTGAAATCGATCCCCTTGCGGTTCCTATAGCCGCAGCCCTTCAGGTTTTTCGCGTCGGGCGCTGGCGGCTGCTCGGGCGGCTTGGGATACTTGCAGCACTTCTCCACGCTCTCCTGGCACTCGCCGAACCTGGGACGAGTGAGGTGACGCGGTATTTTACGGCGGTAGGGCCACGCAGCAGCCTCCGCTGTTGCACGAGTGGGCAGGCTCGTCCGGGTAAGTACCGCGACTTCGCAGAAGACCGGTAAAGTCGAAGTATGATGAAATACTTTCGAGTTTCGTCTGGTGAGTGAGGTAGCCGGAGCCCAATTTTCAAAAGGTTGTCAACGCATCTGTAACCCTCGGTTATAGCAGATAACCATGGTCGGCGGTATTCACTTAACATCAGGTGAACTTAAATGTGAATCAGTCTTAATACGCATAAAAACTCCTTTAGCCGCGCCGGCGCACTTTTTTCTATGCTGTCAAATGGACTTTAGTCTTGCCATAGATTAAATGTACATTTGAATGGTTTTCTGTTCACATTTGTAATAAGAACTTTTTTGAACCCATACCTGATGTCCAAGATAAACGCCCCGGTGACAGTCTCGTTGTACGCGTCCACTGCATTCCCGTCGTTATCGCACAGGTAGTAGGGCACACATTTGCACTCCTCCCCGTTGCTGTCTACGAAGGTTGACGTTGCGTCCGTAGGTCGAACGGTGATCTGGAACCGTACGAGGCTTATTGGGAGGTTAACCTGATGTTAAGATCGCCTCATGGACACCTACACTTATCGCAGATGCTTCTTGCTTCTCAATACATTCATTGTAATGTTTTGTATATTCGTCATAAGCTTAATTATTACCTAAAGAATAGTGACAGACATAAATTAAACACCAGAAATAACGACAAACTTACCACGCCATTGTTTCGCCTACAAAAAGTAAATAGGTCGTTTACGGAGCAAGGTGTCCCGCATGTATAATAAAATCCCACAGTCGATATAAGTCTGCTGCTTTATCAATTTAAACGTAAAATCAAAAGTCAACTCATGGTTTTTTTTTTTTTCATTTTTGAAAAAGAGCAACTGTTGAGTTTCTTGCCGGTCTCTTTTCAACAGAAACTGCTTTCCGAACCGACGATACCTCTACCAAATCTCCAGTAAACAAATCCAAAGGTATAAAGGATATTGAAAACGGCCGTTAAATGTTTGCTGGTTCGAATCCGCAGCGCCAGCGATTGACGTCAACTCAAAATATATGATTTGACGTCAGTCGCTAACAACTAAATACTGACTTTCGAATTAATACTTCTATTGCATCATCTACGTACTATACGTTTCCTTTAAGCCATTGGTTGCCTGGAAGAGATCGCTATGAAGCGATAAGGCCGCCAAATTGTACATTGCATAAATTTGTTGTTCTATTGTTACTCTTATGTATATTCTTATTTGTGGTGGACAACATAAGTGTATTCATTTATTCATTCATTCATAACATTGAATAATTAATAATAATATTTATAATGTTTTCGGACACATTTTACACACAATTAATTATGAAAATTAATTGACCAATTGTGACCATTTTGTTTCCAATTTAAATAATCTTAGAACCAATGACGTGAAAAGTTAACCTGCCTCTTGCGACAGAGTGTGGGTTCGATCTTCACTAAATGGAAAAAAATTGTGTGATGAACAGTGCTTATTCTAGTGTCTGGGTGTTTACATAATCATAATATGTATTTATTTACAAAAAAAAGAGTATGTTTAAGTATGTCTATCAGTTATCTAGTATAATAGAAGCGTTGCTTAGTTTGGGACTAGAGAACATTGGGTAAACATTAGTATTGAGATATTTAATTATGTATTTATTAATACATCCATATCTCTTCGTATGTCAATCAGTTTTCTAGTACCCATAGCACAAGTGTTGTTTAGTTTGGGACTGGAGAACGTTGTGTAAAGATGTGTCCGAAAATATTTATTTATTAATACTTACACGTCTCTACTTTATTGAGAGTTCCGCTTATGCATTAATTGGAACGACCACTGAAACTAAAGACTTCTTCTAAATTTTACTGTGGTAGGGCCACGCAACAGTGTTCGCTGTCGCACGAATGGGCGGGTCCGTCCGGGTAAATATGACGACCTCACAGAAGAACTAAGTGAAGTAGAATTGTTACACTTCTGCGTTTCGTCTTCTTCGGTGGGTGAGGTGGCCGGGGCGCACTTAGTTGAAGGTGGCAACGCGTTTGCAAACCTACGGGATTTGCAAATCACCGTGGGCGGCGGTTATCATTCAATAACAGGTGGACCGCCCGCTCGTTTGCCACGCTGTGACGTAAAAAATATGACTTTACGTCAGCGTCAGGACAACTCACGGCTTCGAGTCCTGGCGCCTTGGTTGTGGCGCCTGGTGGTGTGCCGAAGACGTCCACGAGCAAATCCGGACTGACTGTGTTCTGCGGGTACGCCAGAGCCGACCCCAGCATCAGAAGATACGCGAACCTCATTCCGCTGCGGAGTAAACGAAAGAATAGGGATAAAGTTGAGATGAGATTTACTCTTTGGCATATATATTTACTACTAGTTTACTACTGTTAACCGCGGCTTCGCTCGCGCAGCCAAAGGGAATTAACAATGAGTTTTTTATTTTACACCAGAATATCCCGCAGATGGCTGATTTTTTTCCTACTTAGTTACCTATATTTTGGATAATTCACACATCTTTATAAATTACAGCTTATGTTTTATTCTGATGTATAAGTAATATTATTGTAAAGTTTCATTAAAAACTATTCAGTACTTTTTGCGTGAAAGAGTAACAAATATCCATCCATACATAAAAACTTTCGCATTTATAATATTGGAAATAAGGATTAATAAGGAAGTAAGAATTACTACTTTGGTGACGTCGTCGGGGGCCGTGGGTTCGATTCCCACACGGGACTACTATTTGTGTGACCCACAGATAGTTGTTTCGCATCTGGGTGTTTGTCCACGTGAAATTTATGTATGTAAAACGTCCTTGCAACACAGGATAATGTTATCCTAAAGTGAGGGCAATGTTTAAAAAAAAAAAAGAAAAGAACTAGCGACCCGGCCCGGCTTCGCACGGGTGCAATGTATTATACACAAAAACCTTCTTCTTGAATCACTCTATCTAGTAAAAAAAAATCGCACCAATATCCGTTGCACAGTTTTAAAGATCTAAACATACATAGGGACAGACAGACAGCGGGACCACTTGGTTTTATACTAAAAAAAAAAGTAAAGTCCCACTGCTGGGCAAAGGTCTCCTCTATATAGAGGGTATCAGGGCATAGTCCACCACGCGGCCCCACTGCGGATTGGCGGACTTCACATATCTTCGAAATATTTTTTTTTTTTTGTTATTATTTCGAAAATATGCAGGTTTCCTCACGATGTTTTCCTTCACCGCGGAGCACGTGATAAGACAGCACTTAAAGTTAAAAACTTCATTGGTGCCGGCACCGGGATCGAACTCAGGTTGCTCGAGTATTATGAATTAAAGGCGAGCGCCCGGACACTGAGCTATCTCGATCTGGTTTTATACTATGTAAAGATATTTTGAATTTTTAAAGATATTTTGAGGCAAGTTCACAACTCCCCACTGCTTTTTAAGCAAGAGTACCTGGAGGACCGGTTTGTTTTTTTTTTTTTGTAAATCGTGTATTTTGGAAATTACATTACACATACAAATTACTGAGTAATGAAATATGCATATACAAGAATTGCTCGTTTAAAGGATAAGATATAAAATGTAGTACATGCGGGCGGAGCCGCGGGCAAAAAGCTAGTTATAAAATAAAACATTTTTTTATAAAAACGTTTTACTTACCCTCACAATTCACAATCCAGTTTTAGCCAAAATAAGAGAGACATTTTAAGTTGAAATCTGGATATTCCTCAATTATAATAGTCATTATTTGCAAGAATTTATGATGTAACGAACGGTTAGATGAGAAATTGTAATGCGAAGTCATCATGTCATGCGAACATAATTCTAAATAAATTGCCAATTAAATACGCCTTCTTTGGAATTCTACCAACGTGTAACATTATAATGATATAAAAGTCATTTTATTATATATGTCTATTACAAGTTTGATTTATAGTCTGTGTTTATTAAGAAACCCACTTTTTATGTATATTTCTGGAATATTATTTTAGTCGATATATTTTAAAGCTTCTTAACAGCCCTTAATTTATTATTTACATTGTTGCTGGTTTTCGCTTAAGTGTTTCTTGTCATATACTCGAAAACCTTTTTTTTTTAAAGAACATCGCCCTTACTTTACACATTATTCTCTATAGAGGAGGCCTTTGCCCAGCAGTGGGACATGTATAGGTTGTTACTTTACTTTACTTTATATAGTATGGATATATTGTACCCGTGCGGAACCGGAGCGGGTCGCTAGTATAATATTGTTACTTTAGCGTTCGTAACATTTAATATAACGGAATTTAATCAAAGGAGGATAATAAGCTATCAGCATATGGAAATTTTAACTATAGCGGAAACAAATAGCTTCTAGATATATTGTTAAAAGTAACGGCCTTTATATGTCCCACAGCTGGGCAAAGGCCTCCTCTGTACAGAGGGTGTTAGGGCATAGTCCACCACGCGACCCCACTGCGGATTGGGGGACTTCAAATATCTGCGAAATATTCTTTTATTATTATTTCGAAAATATGCATGTTTCCTCACCGTTTTTTCCTCACCGCTGACCAAATAATAAGTCAGCAATTAAAATTAACAATATCATTGTTGCCGGCCCAGGGGGGAACTGGTTGCTCGATTATATTGAATTAAAAGCGAGTGCCCAGACAATGATAGTCCATTATATATATGATAGTCCACGGCTGTATAAATCTTATTAAATCATTGGCAATAGATTGACGCTAGCTCATTGAAGATAAATTCTGAACTATGTGTCCCACAAGTATCTTTTCATACTAATTACTATTCATGGTTCTAGTTAATGAGAATCCCCAATGCCTCCAAGTCAGAAGAAACCATATTGTTCTTATAGTTGTTTTTACTGTTAGGACCAAGCGACAGTCTTCGCTGGGCAGGTGTGACCGGGTAAGTACCACGACCTCACAGAAGACCGGCGTGATGTGGAAGTTTTACACTTCTGCGTTTCGTCTGGTGAGTGGGTTAGCCGAAATAATTATTTAAGGTGGCAACGCATCTGCAACCGTATAGGTGCTGCAAATGTCAGTGGGCGGCGGTTATCACTTAACATCAGATGAACCGCCAGCTCGCCAATATAGGTTAATAGGTTAATAATAAATTATATAGGTAAATAATAAATTATATAGGTTAACAATAAATTATATAGGTTAATAATAAATTACATAGGTTAATAATAAAGGTTATTTATCGACGTCGGGGGTCGTGGGTTCGATCCCCACACGGGTCAACTATTTGTGTGACCCACAGATAGTTGTTTCGCATCTGGGTGTTTGTCCACGTGACATTTATGTATGTAGAAACGTCCTTACAACACAGGATGATGTATGTAAGGGATATGGGGATGTAAGTAAGGGATATGTTGTTTTAAAAAACAATATTTTATCGCACTCAACTGCGCGTTTGGGAAGTCCGGATTGCGCGCGAAATTAAGACCGCGCGATACGCGATAAGGCGGGGGTCTCATGACACGAGTGACGCGATTTAAAGGTCGCCAATGACAAGGTCAGAGACGCGGCAAAACCCGTTCGCTACCGCCTGACCCGAGGATGAACAGCATTGTTCTGAACTCGCGTGAATCGAGCGCGAACTAAAGAACGAAATTCGTTTAATAACCAACCATTAGAATAGAAATAAATAAATTTAATAGTCAATTTATTAGCGTACGCATGCATGTCACATCTTTTGACTGACGTCCTCGGCGTGGATTTTTTTGGAGGGAAAGTCTTTTTTGCGCAAACTATATTTTAAAAAAAATATTTTTTTTAATGTAAGTAAGTGGCAAACGAGCTGGCGGTTCACCTGGTGTTAAGTGATATCCGCCGCCTATGGACATTTGCAACACTCGTAGGGTTGCAAATGCGTTGCCACTTTTAAATAAAGTGAAACGCAGAAGTGTAACACTTCTACTTTACGCCGGTCTTCTGTGAGGTCGTGGTACTTACCCGGACGGACCTGCCCATTCGTGCAATAGTGTTGCGTGGCCCTACCACCGCAAAAACTAAATTTAAACTTTTTTATGTGAGAAGGTGATGGCAAGCGAGTCAACCCATTTGCGCAACAGTGAAAACTGTTCCGTGGCCCTACGACAGTTGATTCTAATATACAGCGTGTCTTTACAATCGCGACAATAAGTGAACACACATATAGAGGATAACTTTTTAAAATTGTATTAAACATTTATCTTATCCTTTAAACGAGCAATTCTTGTATATATATATATATATAATCGGAATCTCGGAAACGGCTCCAGCGATTTTAATGAAATTTAGTATGTGCGTAGATTCGGGGGCGAAAAATCGATCTAGCTAGGTTTCATTTTTAGAAAATGTCTTTTTATCCCTGTTTTCAGGGAATGGAAAATATAATTCGAATATGACGGTAAATTTCGCCGCAAGAGAAAATGTCATAATAGCTCGGTCGGTAATCGGGCGGCACCAAAACAGACGGCCGTGGTTCGCGTCACGATCATTTACACATTTATTTTTTTTTACTTTTTTTTCGACTCCAGATCATTGCTTTCTTTATTTTTAATTTTTTCCTCCGGGTACTATTCTTTAAACATCAATATTTACAGTTATTCAATTTTCCGAAACAAAGAATTTTAGAACACCCTTACGTATAAAACTGTAACGTAAAGTTCATTTGTAAAGGTCACAAAGCATATCAATGGGCTGATTGAATTTAAAAGAGACAAAACACACTGTTAGAAGGAGAGGCTTATAATGCGACGCTGTGGCAACGAATGAAAAAGTCTCTGAATGTATGAATCAGTCTGTTGTAGTTTATAGAATGTTACAAATTTTATTTTCTTTTTTACTTAATTAGTTTGTTTGAAATTTTTTTTTATTATGGATTTTTTAACGTTAATATTTTTTATGATTATTGGCAAGTAGCGTTAGACGTGTGTTCATTTATTGTCACGATGGTAACGATACGCTCTATAAAATTTTCGTGTCACGGTGTTTGTAATTGAGTTCCTCCGAAACGGCTCGACCGATTTTCGAAATTTTATTATCTATAAAATCGCCAAAATCGTGTCCGTTGTATGGGAGCCCCACTAGACTATCTTTTTAATCGGTTTTTGAGTATTTGTTGTTATAGCGGCAACAGAAATATATCATCTGTGAAAATTTAAATTGTCTAACCATCACGGTTCAAAAGATACATCCTAGTGACAGACGGACCGACAGCGAAGTCTTCGTAATAGGGAGAAAAAAGTACGAAAAGTTTTTCGCCGCTGTGGAAATCGAACCCACGTCCTCGGAAATCGCGCCTTGACTTTAGCCACTAAGCTAAATGGCTAATTTCCACGGCTATACAGCGCGTGTGGAGTTCGACTTTAATCGTGTAAATGTTCGTTACATTTGCTTATTATTAAGTTATGGAAACTTTTATGTGCATAAGCTTTTATGCAATAAAACTATTGGACCTAAATAATGTCCTATTAAGTTAATAAATTATCATTTCTATCAATATCCTTGAAATTGTTTGATTATTTTTATTTACCTTAGTAATAGAATTCAAAAAGTATCTATAAATGATGTAAATTCCGCAGGGACCCCCATGAAAATGGGTGTCCCAAGAGGATCATTACTATTATTATTCTTGGGCGCATTATTATTCTTTGTGTATATAAATGATCTCCCCTTTTATGCCAGTGAGTTATGTGACGTTGTACTGTTTGCTGACGACACATCGCTCATTTTTAAGGTTAACGGAAATGTATCGAATTATAATACGACGTGAATGAAATGTGAAAGTGCACTTTCGCGTATCCTCCACTGGTTTACCTTTAACAGTATGGTGTCAAATGATAAAAAAACTAAATGCCTTCTTTTTGCCCTTCCTGGCGTAAGAAGGCAAAGTTTTAAAATTAAATAGCGTAACCCTTAATCCTGTTTAGTCCGCTGTATCCTTGGGACTCACAGTAGATTCAAAGCTCCAATGGAGTCCCCATCTATCATCTCTTGCGAATAGGTTAAGCTCCGCTGTTTTTGCAATTAGGAAGGTTAGGCAGCTATCAGACATCGACACTGCCAGACTTGTTTACTTCAGTTATTTTCACAGCATCTTGTTGTGGGGTAGTGCATCTGATATAAATTCAATATTTATTCTTCAAAAAAGAGCTGTCAGAGCAATTTATAATATCGGAGCCCGGAATACACTCAGAGATCTTTTTAAAGAGATTAATATACTCAGTGATGCGTCTCAATATATTTATTGTAATATTTTGTATGTTAAACATAATATTAATAATTATCTAAAGAATAGTCACAGACATAAACTAAATACTAGAAATAAGGACAAACTAACTACGCCATTGTTTCGTCTACACAAAGTAAACAGGTCGTTCATGGGACAGTGTGCGCATGTATAATAAAATCTTATCATACTATTGCCGAATATCTTGACGACGCCAATGTGTGGGGTTAATACTGTTGATACTCACGCAGGCTAAAACAAGACTATTATACCTGTACTATTATATTGTAAACTAACCTTTTAAAAAAGAGCAAATGTTGAGTTTCTTGACGGTTTCTTCTCAACAGAAACTGCTTTCCGAACCGGTGGTAACTTACGAACGTGTTAATTTCTTTGTAAAATTTTGACGTTTCATTAGAACGCGCAAGCGTCTATGTGAATAAAGATATTTTATTATTATGTTATACAGCGTGTCGTTACCACCGCGACAATAAATGAACACACATATAGAGGATAACTTTTTAAAATTGTATTAAACATTTACATTCTTTATTCATTCACTTCATTTCACATTTACATTTATTCTTTAAACGTCAATATTTACCGATTTATTAAATTTTCCAAAACAAACAATTTTAGAACACCCTTACGTATAAAACTGTAACGTAAAGTTCATTTGTAAAGGTCACAAAGCATATGAATGGGTTGAATGAATTTAAAAGAGACAAAACATACTGTTAGAAGGAGAGTCTTGTAATGCGACGCTGTGGCGCGAGCTATATAGGATGTTACAAATTTTGTTTCTTTTTTACTTAATTAATTTGTTTGAAAAATATATATTTTTTTAATTATGTATTTTGTTTAACGTTAATATTTTTTAATGATTATTGGCAAGTAGCTTTAGACGTGTGTTCATTTATTGTCGCGACGGTAACGACACGCTTATTTTATTATTATTATTAGTTACATCAATTATCACCATCACATCATCATAATACACCTTATACATACCAACCTACAATTTATGGAATTTTACGATATATACCTACATAAATAATAATTATATCAATAGTACTCAAACATTAACCATATTTCTTAATAAAATGTACGGAGCGTTGACAGTACATGTTAGACTTACATTTGCACAATAGTTTATTTACCTACATAAGTATATTCTTCGTCAATCTTCTATTTTTTTAATTTCTTCTACATTAAAGACAAAGGATAAAAACGCACCAATTAAACACTGATTAACTTAACACAAATCTTGTGCGTGTTACTTTTAAAGTTTCCTCCTTTTTTTGTTCGAGAAATATAATCATAAGCGAAACGTTTTTCCTCAAAACAACGATCGTTGATCGAAAACATTCTGATGGCTATATGAAGATGCAATAACAAACAAATTCAATATAGACCCACCTCGTTAATTGCTAAATCTATGAACACACAGAGTTTCCTAATCGTTACACTACTAAAAACACGGCACTCAACTATTAATATATGGTACAGTCTTATAATTTCACTAGTTAACTCAATCCGCGTTCAACATTCATGGCGTATTCGCGCGACTGATCAAGTGATCACTGCACTGATCACTGGTTAGAGGTCGAGTGTTGTAACACGCACACAAGAACGAATGTGTGGTGTCCGCTTGCGTAGTGCTGTCTTATACGTTTATCGATGTTCTATAAATAACTCTCGTTGATGTCGCCGCGCTGTTACGTCGATAGATCCATTAATTTCTCTAAATGTACCATCGTCATCCGCAGTCTACTTTATACAGTTATCTGTCGACCGTTTCTTGTCTCCGGTTCCAAATGGTGCTTGAGATGAATTAATGTGATGTCGAGAAAGTTAAGAGTTCTTTAAAAAGGTAATGTACTACCTATTAGCAATCGAAGGGTAAAATAGAAAGAAAGAAGGAAAGACAGAAAGAGAGAAAGAAAAAATAATGTTTTTTTTTTTTGGTACAAGACAAACCTAATAAAATAATGAAAAATTAGCAATCAATGCACCAAAAAGGTCAACCAACTCAGAATCAAATCACGAAAAAACAATTCGTGACTGCTGGTTTTCATTGGCAAAACAAATAACAATTGTTATGCACCTACCACCGATATTGTAATACCAAAAGCGACAGTTCATGTCCGGCGACGAAGAGTGATACCGCCATTTTCTTAAGTGCATTATAACTGTCATCATTAGTGAGATAGGCCGTGACATTAAGTTATAATATATTTAATTAGTTGAGGCGTGTGAAATTTTCAAAGTATCGTGGCCAGTCATCGAATGTTAACATAATAATTTTTAAATAAGTATTCATCATCAATGAAAGGTATATTACCATTTTTAGTCTATTTCCTTATTTTTCATTTAAACAAATTGTCAACAGATGGCGTTAGCATACATTTTTTAATAATTTTTTTTAAACGAATGTGGCCTACGTTTAATGGAAAGATCAACTTCATTCTATTTTTCTAGTTCTTCTCAATATCGGTAAACATAAGCTTGGTTTAGTACACAGATGGTCTAGAGCCTGAGAAAGGACATAGGCTATTTTATAAAGAAAGATATTTACTTAAGAGCTTCAACGCGAGCGAAGCGGCGGGCGAAAACCTAGTAAAATATAGGTATACAAGACCCGCCCCGGCTACGCACGGGTGCAATGTATTATACATATAAACCTTCCTCTTGAATCACTATCTAGTAAAAAAAAACGCATCAAAATCCATGGCGTAGTTTTAAAGATCTAAGCATACATAGGGACAAACAGACAGCGGGACGACTTTGTTTTATACTATGTAGATAAAATATAGACATACGACCTCCAAGGAGTACATCCGTTACTGTAAGTTGTTTCTCTAATCATATTATTCTCGGTTGCAAAAAGCAACACGTCAATATCGATACGATAACGGCAACGCAACGTGTTCTCTGATTCACAAGAGACAACCGGTCAATCGGGTTTCAAGAATCAAGATAAATCGCTAAATAATTATTGCGGCCGAAATATCATCTTGCTATTTTAGGTTGCCTTCGCGAAATGATATCATATTATATGATAAAGTCAACTGCAAATCTGTATCCAAGCAACTTTTGACTTTTTTGTGAGATATTCTTTATAATATCTAAAACAAGTCTATTTTTTTTATTAACGTAAAACAAAACCGACTTAAAATACCTCGCTCTGTATCCATTTTATATTTGGTTAGAGTTCCCTAAGAATCTCCGGAGCCCAAGATCCAATACCAATGAAATTAATATGGGACCACATGGGAAGCACCAGCTTTCAAATAAAATAAGAATCATGAAAATCCGTACACCCAGTCGAAAGTTCTGAGGTAACAAACATAAAAAATACAGTCGAATTGAGAACCTCCTCTTTTTTTAAGTCGGTTGAAAAACTAGGCAAATGGCGGCATGAAATATAGCTTCATTTCATTTACCTTTATCTGTTTTCATCGTACTTATATTTTGCAACCGAATGGTCGTAAAAAAGTAATAACAAATTATACAAAAAAATGTATCACCTTTGAAGGAGCTCAACTATACAACTAAACTACCTACTCATATAAAAAAAATAACCGCATATAACAGTTTTAAGTCTCAATTATCCCAATACATAATTGATAACTTTTCGCCTTCGGTTTGAGACATAAAGCTGTTAACTGTTTGGCAAGCATGAAGTTAGACTGCCGCCAATAGACAATATCATCATAGATGTTTCAGCCGTTTTGCCTGTGTTATTGTAATAGAGTAAAGACTTGTTTATTTGTATAAACTTTATTGAATCACTTACATGACTTGCACGTTGGGCGTTGACAAGAAGAAGAAGGAGTAATATCTATGAACGACATTATACAGCGTGTCGTTACCATTGCGACAATAAATGATCACACGTCTAACGCTACTTGCCAATAATCATAAAAAAATATTAACGTTAAACAAAATCCACAATTAAAAAAGTAAAAATGAAACAAAATTTGTAACATCCTATACAACTCGCGACACAGCGTTGCATTACAAACCTCTCCTTCTAACAGTATGTTTTGTCTCTTTTAAATTCATTCAACCATTCATATGCTTTGTGACCTTTACAAATGAACTTTAAGTTACAGTTTTATAAGTAAGTTTTAGTAAGGGTGTGCTAAAATTCTTCGTTTTGGAAAATTTTATAACTCTGTAAATATTGATGTTTAAAGAATGTAAATGTTTAATACAATTTTAAAAAGTTATCCTCTATATGTGTGTTCATTTATTGTCGCGATTGTAAAGACACGCTGTATAATTATAATCATAGACAACAATGTCATATTGTCAACCTCTAAATACCGGATTTTACTTAGGGCCGAATCTGAAAAGACACTTCCTCGCGCCGTTCTTTAGTGCAACTGGAAAGTTTACACCTTTTATGGCTATATGACGACCCGAATGGCGTGGTGGGTAGTGTACCTGCCTCCTGCGCCAGAGGGTGTGGGTTCGATCCCCACTACTAGAAAAATATTGTGTGATGAGCATATTGTTTTTCTAGTCTCTGGGTGTTTATATATGTATAATATGTATTTGTTTACAAAAGAAAAGTATGTTTAAGTATGTTTATCAGTTATCTAGTACCCATACCTACATGCATTGCTTAGTTTGGGTCTAGAGTAGAGAATGTGTAAAAATTTTTCCTAAAATATTTATTTATTTATGTGAGATACTGGATGTGCCACGGAAATCGCGAATCGGAAGATGAATTGATTGACCTTGGAATCGTTAGAAAAATAACAATTCTAAATATTTCACTGTACAACGTTTCAAACAATAGATCATTTATTTCGATAGACCATAGAGCACATGTCTAGCACGGTGTCGAACCTAGACATTGTTACATCATCGCTACGTCCCACCAGATGTTGGCGGGATTTCCGAGACTCCAATTAGCTATTGGGTTTACCATGCTGCCGATAAAACGCGAAAAGTTTATCACGAGAGCCAAAGGTTATCACTAGAATATGCGAAAGGGCGGCCCCTCGATTAATAAATTAAAACGATTTAATAAATTAAAACGAAGAGGAGAGGGGTTACGATTACACTTTGAAAAAGCGCGGCCAGCAGTCGAAAATCGACATTCGGTAATATGATTTATTTATTTATTTTATTTATTTTATGCGAAAAGTTGTCAAACGAGCAGACGGTTCACCTGATGTTAAGTGAATACCGCCACCCATGGACATCTGCCACACCCGAAGGTTACAGATGCGTTGACAACCTTTTGATAATTGGGTTCCGGCTACCTCACTCACCAGACGAAACGCGAAAGTATTTGTCACACTTCCACTTTACGCTGGTCTTCTGTGAGGTCGTGGTACTTACCCGGACGGGTCTGCCCATTCGTGCAACAGCCGAGGCTGCAGCGTGGCCCTACCACCGACCTACTATGAAGAGAAATCTTTAAGAAACGTTATGAAATTATAGCATTTAAAACTGATTACTAATGTAGATTCTTTTCTAAGTTCATTACTAACGTGTACTTTTTTTTATTAGTGTTTTTATAAACTGTGGTAGGGCCACGCAGCCGTCTCGACTGTTTCACGAATGGGTAGGTTCGTTCGGGTAAGCACCACGAGCTCACAGAAGACTAGCGTAAAGTGAAAGTACGTATTATCGATTTAGTGAATCTATCGACATAATTTTTGAGCACGTATTCGAGAGCTTTTCTTCGTGTTGTGGTTTGTGTTATGTGTTATTTTTGTTTTTAAAATTCTAATAATACGTATATACTATTCTTCAGTATGTGTATTTCGCTAAAATAGTTTACTTAATTAAATTATTTCATTTAAATGCAAGCAATACCTTATCTAGTATTTAAAGTTTTGAAGAAATCTACAAACGGTTTAAACCAAACTTGCTTTTTAACTAGTTGACACCCGCGTCTACGTCTGCGTAGAATAGTATGAACGCGTAATATTCAGACAGAAAGACAGATCATTGAAATATCCAGTTGTATACCACATTCATGGTTTTTCCTTCTGCGGATAATGTTTATAAATTGTCCGCATTACAGAACCGCGAGAACGCTACGAACAATAATTGACCGTGGGAAAAATTAGTTGGATCTTAGGTCAACACCGGCTGCCTTTTGGGTCTGTCCCTGAGACTCATTTATAGTCATTGGGAAGCAAGCTGCTACTGGAAATTGGGTGCCCTTAGTTTTTTTTGTTTTTTTTAAACATTGCCCTGTAGGATAAGATTATCATGTGTTGTAAGTACGTCTTATAACAATAATAACACTTTATTTGTAAAAACATAGTGAAAATGCAACGTGATCTTATGCCATATCCTGAAGTATCGCATGTTATTTTCTCTAGACGAGCGTACAAATATTTATTGTGCTGTTCTTAGCACCTAGATTGATAAATAAAAAGTTTAAAATTTACACTCTTACATACATAAAATTTACTCTCTTACACACAAAAAATTCACTTGGACAAACCCACATTCGAAACAATTTCTATGGATCACACGAATAAATGTCCCGTGTGGGAATCGAACCCACGCCGAAGGTAATTGCCCAACTGCGCCACGGAATGATGAAGCGAGTGGTATTCGTAATAAACACAATTTCGCCTGAGCCACACCCAGTGACCAGTTTTGTATTTGAGGCCAGAGATGAGTACGATTCAATGAGGCGTTTATTTCGTCCGCGTTAATCCCCCGAACTGTGAAACAAAAAGAAAATTAATTTATCTACCAAAATAGGACAGCACACAACAAAAAAATAAAAGAAATAAAAAGAATTAAAATAATACACACCAGAGTAAAGAGAACAAAACAAAATCTTTACATAAAAAAAAACTATGGTGATATAATAACAAAAGAATAATAAATCAATTAAAAGGAAAACAATTGTACGCCCTATTATCGGTAAATTAGGTCAGCACTCAGCATTATGCTGTGCCAGTAAAGGGTTTGGCGAAAATCTCTAGAGAAAACAACTGTGATGTTCTCCATTGGCTTTTCATCTCGACGTATGTTCCTTAGCGTTCTGTCAACGGCCTTTATTAGTAGTCTCAATTAGCCTCTACTAGTCAAGATTGAGTCTTACTTGTGTTACTTGCCTTTCCCCATCAGCTTCTTGAGATCTAATCGGTTTCATTCTTTTTGTTGCTCTCGTGTACTGATACAAACTCGTCTTTATGGAATAATTAATCTTTGTAATAAATGCCAAAAGGACGGAAAGTAATTCAATATTTATTTCTGACAAAAAAATTCAATTACTTACTTAGAAAATACTAAGAAAATCAGTTTCTTAATTACGAAAAAGAATCTCAGATACAACGTGTGAGTCAATGAAATTTCCAAACCACAAAGCAAAATCAAAAATATCCGTATACCGAGCAAAAGAAAAATCGAATATACTACAATGCCTATAATATAAATTCGCATTATTGTAGAACATTAGATTTTAGTCTTCTTAAAATAAACCTGATAAATCATTAATATCTAAATAGTTTCATTTATCAATGTGTAATTGCGTAAATACAAGAAATTATTAGGATGACGATGAATTATGTCGGTTAAAGTAACATTAGTTGCTTCAATTGTTTTCAATTATATCTTAAATTGCTTACACATTGTTATGTATGTACAAATTCAAATCAAACAATAAAGCGTTAGGTCCCAGAAATAAGGTTTTTTGATGAGTGGTATTTTCGGTTCACTGTCTGAACTCTAGTTTAATTTCTCTTCTCGGTAGACTGTGAATTCTAGTTTAATTTCTATGCTTAGTTAATTAATTGGCAATAAACACTCCTCAGAGTAAGACAGTTTTTTCTTTGTCATAACACCAGCATAATCGAAATAAATCTTATTAGCTTCAACGATATGTTCTTTTTCTTTTTGTTAAAAGCCGTGTGACAATTTCGTGACTTAAGCAACTACTAAATTTAGTGTCCGTCCTGTGGTCTTATGCTGGCGGAAAAGGATCCGAGTGGTAGGATACATGGATTTATACCATACCACCACAAAATTTACAACACACATTACTTATACCATATCCGCAGCAACTGTCGTCATTACACTGTTTACGGAACAGTATACCGATACTTCTCGACGTTTGTTGTAAATTTGTAGACGCGGTGAGAGAAACGAGAATATTTTATACAGGGAGACTTTTTGAGAAGTGCCCAAATATACACAGGAGGTTCAGACTCGGTAGTATAATCGTTTATTGAAATAAAAAACAAACTTTATTTTTTTTTAAAATGCTATTCTATTCCCTAAAACACAGAAGTTGTTGACAATACGGTATTCATTCATAAATACCTAAATTTTATTGTGCACGAACTTTGTGCGTGTTAGTTATGAATGATCGCGCGTAAAATAAATGTTGCGTACAAATCACGCACTTTTTGAGATAAGTTTAAATGAATGTAATTAATTACTTACGAGTGATTTTAAATATTTATCATTTTTCATATAACATTATTTATGTCTAGAATTTAATAAAAAAATTAATACACTTAGAAAAGCCTCCCTGTATTTGTAATATGAATTGACAATAACAAGTAATGTAAAATGAAACGTCAAAGTTCAAGCATACACACAAGGATTGGTGTTATTTTTTTATTTCATTTTATTTTTGAAATGTTTAGTAACAGCTCACAAAATAAAACATACACATAAAGGTAATTTAGAGAACACATACATAGAATTATATCATTCATTCACTAAACAAAACATTCATTAATTGTGGAGATAAAATATTATTATCTAGAGTTAAAATTTAATAAAAGTAAAACAATAACTTATCAAGCTAAAATAATAGTTAAAGGGATACAATACAAGCGTGAGTAGCACCTACATACTCAACTGATGCGCCCTTACAAGACAAGAAATAATATGACGCCGGAGATATGATTTAAAACCGGGCAGACTACAGTTGAATATGTCTTGATGAGAACAGACTCCATCTTGTAATTTACACATCCTGAGCATAGGACCATTTCTATATTACTAGATTTTCTATATTTGGAGATAGTGGTATTGCTAACTGTGAACACGCACCGAAGCGATAAGCGCATTAAAACATGACTTCTGAAGAAGTTGGCCACCAAGTTGTCCAATGGCGACTATAGATTTGATTTCACGTTAGATCCTCTAAATCTAATCGGAAATCTTATGACACTTTATGATGATAGTCGGGGAGCCAGTGGGCGTGAAGCCCCTCTGCTTGCAAACAAACTCGTCGTCCAATTCGCGAATTTCGACCTGGTTAGTGCCCCAGAACGGTATGTCGAACACGACGACGGCGACCTTCCTTGCGCCCTCGTATATTTCGAACGAGCCCTCGGCGCCTGAGGGGCTGTTCTCGCGTCCCGACGCCCTGAATGTCGCCGCCGTAACGGTGTTGAATCTAACGTTGTTGACCGTGGCCAAGTCATCGCCGTCGTGCTGCCACTTGCCCCAGGTCAGCTTCGCGTTCTTGACCGTGCCGACTTCGCTGACGCTGTTTCCGTTCTTGAGTATGAAGTTCGCATAGTTGTCTTCCATTCCTCTAGATGTCGCGCAGTTCAGCAACACCAAAAACGCCGCGGATCGGATTAGTGATGTGGCCTCCATCATTCGCGATTTCACCAAACTGAACAGTTACAGATGTAAGACTGTACGTTTATATAATTCCTCCTATCGCGCGGTGAGTTTTGACCTCTTCCGTTTGACACAATCACTCGAATTAAAGATAACAAACATTAAATTAAAATTATATTGCGACCTCGGCTCGATCGGTAGCTATTGTCTGACTGGAAGACCATGGAATGCTTTGTGCCTCATTTATACCACACAGAATGTCACTTCCTTTAGTGTTGCCAAAAATATCATCAGATGGTGATAGTATGCGTGAAACGATGGGCGTATCGTTGTATTAGTATCATCTTGTATTATTTTGCTTTTGCATTCGAAACATCTCCATGAGCGGTTATCTTTATCATTAAAAGATCATATTAGATCATATTTTAGTTTGCAAGCAAGACATTTCACGTACTTCTTATCGGTTATTTTCGCTCTACACGCTCCATGTGTTTATCTATTTTATGCAAACTAATACACTTTAAATATTATTTCAATGTTTAACTAGCAATAGCTTATGTTTCCTAATATGTTATAATGCTCTGATTATTTACGTAGGCGCCCAATAAAACTGTCGTACAAGAATAAATCGGTATGTCAGTGAGCCGAACGCGGGTTGCGGTAGGTCAGGGAAGTTGCTAAGTTAACACTTTATTGAAACTAAAACACTCCGTTGTGCGGTGATATTTTGATGAAGTAATAACACAGCCACAAAGTTCATGAATCAAGCTTCACACACTGAAAATCAGTGCTGTGTTGGCGTTTTGACTTCCGGCACAGCATAATGCTGAGTGCTGACCTAATTTACCTATAATAGGGCGTACAAATCTTACCCTTAAATTGATTTATTTTTCTTTTGTTTTAAAAAAAAAAGCTTTGGTGATACCATAGTTTATTTTTAATTTACCGATTTTGTTTTCTTTTATTTACACTATTGTGTATTATTTTTGTTTTTTGTTCTGTACCTCCTTTTTGGTAAATAAATTTATTTTTATTCTTTTTCCTTTATTTTTGTATACATTTTCTGTGAGAATTAGCACTTTTCACTGTAGATATTAAGTTTTTAGCGCTGACAAAAAATAATTGATGTTTACTCTTGTATCTTGTATTAACTGATGTTTTTGCTTTCAGTCCCGAGACTATTAAAGCTTCATCTGACGCAAAATCGGTGGGCCAGCCAGAACCCACGGGCTTGGGTCTTCCGCTGTGGGTAGGGCCGCGCATGTGCGCGTGCGTTTAACTATGGTATGTCATCTAAGGGCCATCGAGATTGCGGTTCGGACCGGGACCCCGATGGCCGTCGACTGCGTTTTTAGCTAATCGGTGGCTGGGGGCGGTGAGAACCGCCCTGGAACGCGGGTGTACCTTGTGTACGCGTTGTGTTGGTTTCGCCGTGCTCGGATGCGAGGGCGAACTATTGTGTTTGTTGTTACACTAACTGTGGGTGTAGTGTTATCCGACGGTGTTGTGTTATCCGACGGGACCCCCGACGGTGGGTCCGACGTATCTAAGTCCCCTTCCTCGACCGGGTCGATGAGGACGTTTCGCGGCCGACGCTTGTTGAAGTTCGCGTTTGTGTCGGGTTGGTAATTTGCTGCGCTTACCACCAGAGGGTGGAGATGATGTTCTCCTCTATCGAAGGATCGTTTGGTCAGGTCTTTAAAATATTCGCGAATCGTCGGGAATGACTGTGGATGATAGATGAAATGTTATGTTTCTTATGTCGATGAATAAATGAATTTGATTTTGATTTTTGCTCTAATACATTTCTTTTGAATTATGAATACTTTTGTGACGCTGAGTTACCCCAAATTACTAATCCATTCGATAACGTGGAACAAACGTAAACATAACATGCGCTTAATGCTGCTTCTTTACCGTTCGTATAAGCAGACGCAGTGCCTGTTAGTCCAGAAAAAGAAGAGATAAAAGAAGATATAAACTAAATAAATAAAATAGAAGAGATAAAATATAAATAAATAGAAGAGATAAAAGAAGATATAAACTAAATAAATACGAAGATATAAACAGAAGCTATAAACTTACATAAATCTTTATTTTGGCACCCTAAAACTTGTCTCAAAATCTATTTTATCGCAGGGAGTCCGCGACTGCATTATTCAAGTTTATAGCTGACTACCTCTCATTCCAAAATATTTTCCCTTCTTTGACTAATTTTCCTGGATACAGACTTATCTAGTTTTGTGCAAATTGTATCGATATGTGCTCGCCAATTAAAAGGATTTTTGTAAATTATTCCCAAAAAATTTGACAGTATCTACTTCATCTACTCCTTCATCATTATGTGTAATGTTGATTTATTTGGTCTTGCTATTATCTTATCCTTTAAACGAGCAATTCTTGTATATATATATATATATATATATATATATATATGTAATCGGAATCTCGGAAACGGCTCCAGCGATTTTCATGAAATTTAGTATGTGCGTAGATTCGGGGGCGAAAAATCGATCTAGCTAGGTTTCATTTTTAGAAAATGTCCTTTTATCCCTGTTTTCAGGGAATGAAAAATATCATTCGAATATGACGGTAAATTTCGCCGCAAGAAAATGTCATAATTGCTCGGTCGGTAATCGGGCGGCCCCAAAACAGACGGCCGTGGTTCGTATCACGATCATTTACACACTCTTTCTTTTACTAACTTAACTTTTTTTTCGATTTGTTATTTTGTTAATTTTTTCCCTTTTTTTTAAAGTTGTTTCTTTTGTAAAAAACGCCCCTTCATATTTTCTTATTATTAGGTTGGTAAGATCGAAAAATATTACGCATATTTCATTACTCAGTAATTTGTATCTAAATGTAATTTCCAAAACACGCGATTTACCAAAAAAAAAACAAACCGAGCAAAGGTCGGTCCTCCGGGTACTATGTTTTAAATTGTATTAGTTTAGTATTATTTATATTAATTTTCAGATTATTTTTATTTAGCCTATCTAAAACGTGAAGTAATTATATTTAAGTTGTATCAAAATAGTTATTTGTTTTAAATTGTGTTGGTATAGTATTATTGATATTAATTTTCAGATTATTTTTAATTAGCCAATCTATAAATGTCAACGAATGCATTATTGATTTCAGTTTCATAAGTGTCATTATTTTTATTTTATATCAAAATAGTAGTGACATTATTGGATAAATAATCTTTGATAATAATAATCATTGAAATTAATAGTGTTGTTTTGCACCTTTTATTATCTATACAGCGAGCGGCTGTATAACTCTGAAATAAAATGATGTTATTTTACGCAGTAATATAAGTTTTGTTTTATTTTTATTATCTCTAATTGGAGTGCTTGAGGGAAACGAATGAGGTCAGAATTCACTGCAAGATAACCGGAGTTATATAAAGGTACAGTGCCGGATCTGTAACCAATCAGTTTGGTACAATCGCGAACCATGAAGACGACATCTGGAATCTGCTTCGCTGCGTTGTCGATGTTGCTAAACTGCGGGACATCGAGAGGATTGGAGGAGAACTACGCAAATTTCATAGTCAAAAACGGGAACAGTATCAGAGAGGACGGTTTGATCAAGAACGCAGAACTGTCCTGGGGCAAGTGGCAGCGGGACGGCGAAGACTTGGCCACGATCAACAAAATTAGATTCAACACCGTTAGATCGGCGAATTTCAGGGCGTTGGGACGCGACAACAGCCCTACAGGCGTGGAGGGCACGTTTGAAATATACGAGGGTGCGAAGAAGATCGCCATAGTCGTGTTCAATATACCGTTCTGGGGCGCTAACGAACTTGAAATTCGCGAAATGGACGACGAATTTGTCTGCAAACAGAGAGGCTTCACGCCCAAGGGATCCCCGACTATCGTCATAAAGTGTCACAAGATTTCCGGTTAGAGATATGTGTTTTAATGTGATTTCGAGTCTAAATAACACCAATCTTTTTATGTGTGCTTGAGCTTTAATGTTACTTGTAACTGTCAATGTAAGTAAAACCTTTATTGATCTAATATTTACAAGATTAAATCTATCTAAAATGACATATTATCTAATAAACCTAATCCACGCGGCATGGAGCCAAGAACGCTAGCTGCATTTCCTCGCTGAATAGTTATGCTTAACCTTTGAGCGAGAAAAGAACCAGTCCTCTTGTCACCAGGCGCGGCGTTAAGCCTAGGACATAAACTTTTAAAAAAAATTTGATGTGCGGGGACCCCGCGGACCTAATGTTTCAACTGTCAATTAATATTAAATAAATAAATTGTTCTCGTTTCTCTCACCGCGTCTCCAAACTACACCAAACGTCGAGCGGTGTCGGTTCAATGTTCTGTAAACAGTGTAAGGACGACAGTTACAGCGGATGTGGTTTAAGTAATGTGTATTGTAAATTTCGTGATGGTATGGTATAAAGTCCAAGTGACCCTCATCATATCGGAACAGAGTGCTAGCCAAGGGGTAAGGTCACTCGAGACAATCACTCGAATCCTTTTCCCGCTGGGAAAAGACTACAGCGCGGACACTTAATTTAGTAATTGCTTAAATAACGAAATCGTGGTACGGCTTTCATCAAAAACAAAAACATATCGTTTGAGCTCATTTATATTAAGCTGGTGTTATGGCAATGAAAAAAAACGGGTAAACGTATGAGGAGAAAGACGTTTCTGCTGACTAATTCACGAAGTGTATAAATTTAACTATACACATAGCGAACCGAAAATACCAATCACCAATAAAAACTTGTACATAACAATGTTTAAGGCGCTGTATGCAGTAAAAATAGGTTTTTCAAAAGATTTTTTAGCAAAATCTACACATTTTATAGCAGCAAAAAAATATATGTTAATCTTGATCGTACATTCTAAGGGACCATTGTTTCCAAAACATGTTCTCGATATATTTTCTCGATAGAAAAAAATCATGAAACTACCTCTAAAAGAGAATTTCAAATCCAAAAATGAACGTAATACATCAACAAATCTTAATGAAATTAATATCAGTGGTGTAGAATATATTAATAAAAAGGATTGTTGTTTTAATTTTTTGATTGATGTAAGATATTTGTAAATATTAATTTAATTCATTAAAATTAATTCGAACGCGATGGCCAAAACACCGCGCTACCGCGGCGTTGTTTCGGTTCTCTTCCAACTTCACACGTTGAACAGAGAGCGCTGAGGCGCCTTGCTAGATGGACTTATGTCGCTCATCGCTCGCTCACCGTTACGAAATATGTTTCGTATTTATTTATTATTGACAGTTTTAATATTATTAGACCTTCCAAAACGCGAAACTAAAAAATATATATTCACATATTTCGTATTTATAAATTATTTGTATGTATTAATAGTTGTTAATTAATTTATTTAAAGCGTAATTTCAATGTCTTATGTCGTGATTGGTCTATCAGTCCTATGCATACAGTGTATAGGACCATCATTCTTTATGGATTGGGTTCAAATCCCGAAATTTTTTGTTGTACTTATTGTTGATTTTCTTATTTGGGAATATATTTTAAATACCATTTAATTTTTGTTGATTTTTTATTTTCATAAATAATTTTTAAATTTTAAAGTTTTTTTTATAGTGCTAATCTCTGCACTTAAGATTGAACATTAAAACATGTTTGTACATGTTTTAATGTTCAATTCATGTGTTCATAGGAAGAAGATTTTCTAAAATTGTTGATTGCTTTCTCATACTTTATATTTGTTTGTTTATTATTTTTCCTATTATAATATAAATGTAAAATACAATCATGGTCTACAAAAGATATAGTGATCATCTATATACATTTTCGAGAGCCTTCCATATCGATAGTATCGATAGTATCCTACGGCCCATCACTACACACACACACTAGGTAATGAATGACGCGGTCTAGCGGCGCGTCGACGAAACTCGCGCACTGCGCGCCGCTAAGCGGCGTTACCCCTCCTCCGCTTCCTCATACTTCACCACCCAAATAGTTAAAAATTCACTGCATACAGCGCCTTAAGTAATCTGTACATCTATACAGATAAATAAAATTGGAGCGTCAGTTTAAAATAACCGCATTTTACTAAATGCATTTGGATGTATACACGGTACCAGAGGCGGATTAAACACTGAGAGCGCTGTAGGCAAGCATCTCATCGGCGCCCCTACTTTAAAGCTGTAAGGTACGCATGGCATGTAAACCCCAAAATCAAGAAATTGCCTATATAATAATTTCTGGCATTACACGCCTGTCGAACTTTTTAGTGTAAATTAAAAAAACAAGTTTTAAATTTTTCTTCTCGTAAACTAAGCATCCAGAGAATTCTGCTTGTTGATTATTTCATGACTGATTTTTCTCTAAAATTTTTTGTTAGGTTGAATAACACCCGGCCCTAATGGAAAAAATATCCATCTTGATTAAACCATTCAGTGCAATAATTATATTCTTGTGTTTCGTTATTTAAATCCCAATTGACTGGGTCACAATCCACCATTAACATTTTATTTTGCGACTGCTTCACAATTTTGTGGTTGTTTATAACTAGTAGGAATTTCATATTTCATAAGATAGACAGTAAACGTACTTTGAATTGCCTTAGAAGATTCAGAATCATCACTTTTGAAAAAAACGTCTCAATATTTTTCGCTTGCTTTATTAAATTATAATGTTTTTTTTTTCTTTCTCTATGACCTTCCTTTTATATTCTGCACCACTATGTTTTTTCTTAATTTACTCATTCTTTATGTAATAAACAAAAACCTAATGGACTAATTAAATACACACATAACACCGCAGCGAGAACGTAAACAACAAAGGGGCCGGAATCGAACCGAACTCTACTTCGACAGTTTTAGCTAGAAGTCAAAGATCGCGTATTGGAAAAACGCCAAACCACGTAGAACGCTCTACTAGCAGACATCGAGCCTTCGCACACCGCCTACTGACGGTTGGCGCGTAGTTTGAAAGCATAGCCCCGTGAATCCGTACTGCCGTTAGTAATAACTAATAGTGCTTTAATAATCTATTAGCCCTAGATTACACTGAAAGCCGAAAGCCTTGCGGACAACCTAGAGCAGCAATGTACGCCATCGCGCGAACACTTGGATAAAGCCCACCTAACGGAGTTGGATTGCGTAATCGAACTTAGGGCTGCGCTACCACCGGTAGGTGAACCTTTAACCTCAGTGACCCCCGACGAGGTCCAAGATAATATTAAAAATCTCAAACCCAAATTTGCCCAAGCCCAGATAAAATTAATAACAAAGTCTTAAAATCTCTCCCTGGGCCGATTTTCTGCATACTGGTGACCATTTTCAACCCACTTCTCTCCAGCTCGGGTGACTGGAAGGCCACCGTCATCGGCCGCATCGCAAGCCGAAGAAACACGCTAATAAACCATCTAGTTATCGACCTATCAGCCTCCTTAATTGCTTGGGAAAGCTCTACGAGTGGCTCATATTAAATAGACTCAAAGAGTAGGTATTTTCAAACGGCCTTATGCCAGATGAACTATTCGGCCTTCGAGCTAGACACTTTACCGACCAATTATACCGCCTAACGGAACACATTCTGAAAGGCCTTAATCACCCCAAACATCTAAGCACCGCTCTCTTCTTCTATATTCCAAAAGCTTTGGACAAGGTCTAGCACAACGGCTTCCTTTACAAGCTGATACTCACTCAACGTGGCAGACAGACTCACGCACACACTCCGGGCCTTCTATTTTAATCGCTCCTTTCGATATCGAGTAGAGAACACCCTCTCTACGAACTGCCCTCTCATGGCGGGCGTTCCTCACGGCTTCTGCCTCTCCTCTTTTCTTTTTACGCTCTACATGAGCGACATATCAAAAGACCCACATGTTATTTTCGCGGATGACACGACGCTCTTTTACACAGATAAAAAGCGCCACCGACCGCCTCGGCGATAGGTTCCGCAAATGGAGAATAGAAGTAAATCCGACAAGAGTATGACAATTTACTTCACACGAAGTACTTAACCGTCACACCTTTATAAAGGCTCTCGCTAATGCAGAAAACTACGGCAAATATCTCTTTACGGCCAACGGCTCTTGGGAGAAAAAGGCCAAATATCTAGGAGTCACTTTCGACTCACGCAAGACGTTCACATCGCATATTAACGGTATTGGAAACAGAGCCGCATTTGTCTCCGGCGTTCTGTAACCTAATCAATGCGTCAAGTAAAATGCCTTTAAGGCACAAATTATTATTATATAAGGCCTGCGTAAGACCTATTAGGTCCGTGCATGACCTATGCCCACACAAACCCTACCCGCTTGTACAAGTTGCAAATAGCACAAAATAAGTTCATACGCCGCGCAACCGACGCGGAGTGGTATCATCGCAACGTCGATCTGCACAGTGGCTACAGACTCCCGACGATTCACGAACATTTTAAATATCTCACCAAATGGTTCTTCGACAGACCTGAACATCATTCCAACCCTCTGGAATATCCCCAACGTCAAAAAACGTCGCCCTCGCAACGACCTCATCGAAGAATCTCGAAATCTCTCTCTCTGGTAATCGACCTCATCGGTCGAAGGGGTCTCGAGTAAATCGGACCCTTCGTACGGCCCGTAGGGGACATGTCATAATTAATGCACGTATGAGGAGGCCGTGGCCACTTTCTTTTTTGAGTAGGACAAATCCTTTATGGATCCTCCGCCGCTCGGGGGGAAGGCAGCAGGGGTATGTGCGAGTTACGGGGTACCCACTAAAAACCCACGTTGCACCGGCGCGACTGTGGGGGACTTCTCAGGCCTCCTCTCCCTGGGTGTTTAGACATCCTATCCAGCCAAATGGTTCCGTGTCGGTGCAATAAACAATGCACCCCTCTCAAGACCACCGCGGGGCAGCAGTTACTCCCAGATCTGCCACCCCGGCGCTTGCTATAA